AATTCATAATTCATAACTCAAAAAAATGCTAAACGTTGTTCTTGTAGAGCCTGAAATACCAAATAATACTGGAAATATTGGACGATTATGTGTGGGTACCGAAAGTAGGTTGCACTTAATTCATCCGTTTGGATTTGTAATTAATGATAAAAACCTAAAGCGTTCCGGTTTGGATTATTGGGTACATCTTGATGTTACCGAATATCAAAATATTGAAGAATGGATTCAGCAAATTCCGGATCAGTCACGCGTTTTCCTAATGAGTTCTCACGCTGAAAAATCATATCTGGAAACTGATTTCCAGGATGGAGACTGGTTGGTTTTTGGAAAAGAAAGTGTTGGATTAAGCAAAGAGGTTTTAGCTCGTTTTGACAATCATTTAACGATTCCGATGTCCAAATTAATCAGAAGTTTTAATATTGCGAATTCTGTGGCTTTTGTAGTTGGCGAAGCTAAAAGACAAATTGGATTGAAAATCTAAAGATGAGACCTCTAATAGACGCAAATAATCTAAACTATTCTAAAGAAACTTTAATTTATTACACAAGGACAAATATTCTTTTGAGGATATTACTTTTAATTGGACTTGCTGTTGCTGCAATATATTATTTAAACCTAGAATCTCTCTACTGTATCGCTTTTATTGTCGGGTATTTTTCTATTTCAAATCCCTTACTTAGTTAAAGAAATAAAGAGAATTGATGAAATTCAGTTTAGAATTAATTCGAAAGGAATTCAATACCGAAATTTAATTCTGGTGCCGTGGAGTAATATTGAAAATGAAAGAGTGGTTACTGAGTATGTAAATTCCGAAAACAGCAATGATTATTTCATTTATTACATCATTGATTCAGGTCAGGTAATGAAATTTGATCTTTCAAAATTAAGTACGGATATTAGTGAATTATCGATCACTCTTAGAATACACAGAAATAGATATAAGAGAGAAAATAATATCGTTTAAGTAATTACAAACTTCCCTTTTTCTGCATCAAAAATAATATGTTCGTCTTTGAACAAATTGGCAAAACTTCCGTTTGAAATTAAATTACAAGGTTCATCCTGAACAATCAACTCTGGTGTCATAATGATCATTTCGTCGCTTAGCTGAATCGCTAAGTCGATGTCATGGGTCGAAAACAAAATACATTTTTGAGTTTCCTGCGTTAGTTTTTTCAGCAATTTAAACAATGAAACTTTGTGTAATAAATCAAGATGTGTTGTGGGTTCATCTAAAATAATAAGCGGTGTATCTTGTGCCAATGCTCTTGCTATTAGGACTTTTTGCAATTGTCCGTCGCTAATTTCGTAATGTTTTTTTTGAGCCAGATGTTCGATTTGAGTCAATTGTAATGCTTCCTGGACTTTCTCGATATCGGTTGGAGTCAAAGTGCCAATCCAATTCGTGTAAGGCTGACGGCCTAATGCCACCAGTTCGAAAACGGAAAGATTACTTGGCGGCAATTTTTCTGTTAAGACTAAACTTAAATTCTGTGCTAAATCAAGAGGCTTATAGGTATTTATATTTTTATCGTTCAGAAAAACATTTCCTACCAAAGGTTCCTGAATTCCTGTAATGGTTCTTAGTAAAGTCGATTTCCCGATTCCGTTTGCTCCTATTAATGAAATGAGTTTTCCTGCAGATAAGTTCAAATTAAGATTCTCTGCAATAACCACAGTTGATTTCTTGGACTTATAGCCAATGCTTAAATTTGAAGTTTTTAGGATTGATTTCATCTTTTAAAGTTACTAAGATTCTGAGATGCTAAGTTTTTTTTGTTACAGATTATAAGATTAAAATGATTTATCAATCTGTGCAAATCTGTTTAATCCGCTTAATCTGCGGGCCAATTATTTACTGAAAATTTCTTTTGCGCATTAATAAATACACTACAACGGGTGCTCCAATTATTGATGTTATGGCATTAATAGGCAATGTCGTATCTAATCCCGGTAATTGTGATGCCATATCACAAAATAGCATGATTATACCGCCGTAAAAAAATGTGCTCCAATATAAAACGGAGTGATTACTCGTTTGAAATGTCAGTTTTGCGATATGCGGAACCGCTAAACCTATAAAGGCTATTGGACCTGCAAAAGCGGTAACACTTCCGGCTAAGATACTTGTGGCGAATATGATGATCAGTCTTGCCTTTTTATAATTCAATCCCATGCTTTTAGCGTAATTTTCGCCAAGAAGTAGTGCATTTAACGGTTTGATGCTGCTAGCGCTTAAAAGCAAACCAAAACCAACACAAAATGCCAGGATAGAAATAGAGGTCCAGGAAAGGTTTCCGAGGCTTCCTAACGACCAAAAAGTAAATTTTTGTAACTGTTCTGCCGAACTAAAATAAGTTAAAACGCCCACGATAGCGCTTGTAAAGCTACCAAACATAAGTCCTATAATTAGAATTGCCATTGTGTTTCGTAAACGCTGTGCTACTAACAAAACCAGCATTAAAACCAAAACACTTCCTAATGTTGAGGCAAATACGATTCCGTACGGGGACAATAAAATTACGTTTAAAAACGAGGGTAAAAAACCTGCTCCTAAAATGACAATGGCTACGGCTAGTATTGCTCCGGAACTTAATCCTAAAACATCCGGGCCCGCCAACGGATTCCTAAATAAGGTTTGCATTAAAAGTCCGCTTATAGACAAACCTACACCAACTAGCATTGCCGTAATTGCTTTTGGCAAACGATAATTAATTATGATATATTCCCAGGTCGATTTACTGGCCTGACCTCCTGTTAAACTCGTACATACTTCTTTGAACGGAATAGTAATAGAGCCCAGACTAATGTCCAGAAAAAACATAAATAAAAGTGCTAAACCAAGTACTGAAAACAGGATTATATTTCGCTTTTTATTGATCAATACGCTTAGTTTAATTTTGATGC